CTACCATATATAAACAGGCAGCAAACCCCACACTCACTTGCGCTGATGATGTTACCTAATTGGGTAATGAAATGCCTGCAAGCAAACAAGCTCAGAGAGCACCAAGAACTCCACGAACAGCTATGTATTTAGGCTAATTACAGATTTTAGTTTTATATTGACGTGTGTGCAAATTGGTACAGCCACATTCAGGCACATGGACTGCAATACCATTTTCAGAAGTCCCAATATTGCCTGCCTCAAGTCTCCCACTTTTCATCTTTTCATGTGAAAAAGTCAAAGAAGGCAGTACAAAAATCACAGGGCAGCGGCTGTTCTTTCCATTCCAGGAAATTTCAGATGCTTGTGGAATAAGTGGCAGAGAGACAGAAGACCCAACCACACTAAAGCAAGCCATCAGCAAAAAATTGGAGTGGGGGGAGGAAGATAACAACTACACTGATGATGGCTTGAGTTAGGTGCACATGTATATTTTGTGCTTGTTCTTTTCTGTATAAAGACATCCTAAATATCAACGCCAACAGGAAACAAGAGGATCCACAGAGTTTGTATACAATGTACACACACCCCTAAGTAGAAGAGCTAGATTGTGCTAATTTTTGTTAGTTACATAATTGCATTTTTTATTTATTTATTTATGAATGAGATTTATATGGTCACCCAACTTGAACAGTTACAACTACAGGCAACAAGCAACAAGCAACAAGAAAACAGTACAGTTAAAAACAACAACAAAATCTGATAGGTGACTGGAACCCAAATTTCTATTACACCCCTCCAGGCGATGTAAGAGAAATTCATTTATGTGTGTATTGAACATGGTATTTTATGGACTTACAAAACACAAACTTTTGATGTTACCTATCATCTGCTTTTCTTTTGAGGCCAAAATAATTAACCCACCCAGCTTCTCCACTGGAAGCTTTAAAAAAGTAGTAGCGGCTTATGTTTCCAACAGGCATGATTAAAAGAAAGAGCCCTTTTTTCCTTCTGCCTGGGCTCTGTCAACTGATTCTGGCCAGAGCAGCACCTCCGTGCTGCATATTTGTGCTCTTTGAATGCAGGTGTCAGCCTTGTGAGGTAGTATAGACAAGAAGCACACCCAGGTGAACTAATTCTATCTTATTGTAAGGTTACATTAACAGAATCTTGTGAGTCTGAAAATATATTTGTCCCCCATTGCATTTACAGCCCAAGAAACTAGGGAGGGTCCCTTCTGAGACATTTGCCATGCCCACTTTCCTGCTGTGGGCTAAGCTGCCTTTTATCCAACCATTGTTCTTCTCCTTGCCTCCCAAGGTAATTCCCACATACTGTTACATCATGTCACCTCAGTCCCAAAAGGCTCTAGTGTATCCAGCAGGGTCAGGTTCTGGGCCACAGCAACATCATTAGCCACACATGAGGGCTATGAGTTAGACTGAGACTGTGGAAGGATGTGGAAGGATGCAGATGGAGTATCCACCAGTACGGACCTCAGTGGTGTTGCTCAGGAATTGAAACAAGAGGCAAGTGAACCACTTGGAGTCTTTCCCAGGATGTATGATATGAACAGGGATTTATCCCAGTATGGCTTGTTCCAGTGAGCATGTGACAGGCTCAGAATGCAAACCAGTGCTGGTGTTTTTAGACAGAATTCACCCCTCATATCTCAGCAGTGGGCTGGACGTTGACCATAATCTGGAGACAAGTAAGGGGGTTGGTCCTGAGACCCCTCCAATGGCAGAGTAGGAAACTCAAACACCTCAAGAAAAATGACCTGCTTCACTAAGTCAGTATCCAGGGGATGTCACTGTATCAATTGCCCTGGAAACCCTCTAGTTTAGGATGCTAGTAAATGGGTGGATAGGAATATCTGTTTGGGTACATACTCCACTCTTTGTTGGATCAGGGCAAAACCTCTTCTATTTCATGCTGATAGGTTCACACATTGCACTCTGCTAATTCACTTTGCTAATACAGGCACTGCACTGTATGAACCATTTGTGGCTTGTTTAATAGATCATGGTTAGACAAAGCAAGATTTATTGAAAAATATAAATCCAACATGAGTCACTGCATACATACATATTTTTTTTTCTATCTTTCCAAAGAGGATGTGTGTGTTTCATAAAGGTTATGCTATACCTTTGAAAAAGCAAACTCCTCCCCAAATACAGTATTAGCATCACAACCACAGGCATCTGTTACATTTTGACAGGGCAGTTATGGGTAGCAACTGTGTAATTTACACTCCTTCATACCTGCAATAGTTCTCCAAGGGGGGGGGA